TGAATTGAGTGGAAATTTGGAGATGGGCCAAGCGCGCACCAGCGAGGTTGGGTTGTTCTTGAATCTGTCAGATTTGTAGTTGGGCTGCGGGTAGAAGTTTCTGTTGTTGTATTTTCTGGGCGGAAAACACGCCTTTTGAGCATGTGTGCTCAGATGAAAATTTGCTGACCAACGAGGGCGCCAACAGAATTTCCGATCTTGCAACTGGCTGGCTCCAAACCTGCGCTCGCGCCAATGTTGGCAGATCGCCTCCAGGCTGTGTGGTGAACTTGTTACTACGCGCTACATACATGAATGTCACCGCACGCAGCTTGGCAATAATGTTCGTGTGGCACCACCGGTGATGACCGGTGCATCAGGTCATGACCCGATCGTGACCATAAACATCTTTGTTCAGACTCACAGTGAATGAAAATGGTGGGCGACAGCAATAGAGTAGCTATCATTTGAGTCCATTCGCTTCGCTCAAGTAAGGGTCCAAAGCCGGGTCTGAATCTCATACAGATTCGCTCCACATCTGTGCGACCAGCGCCTCATGGCTAGTGCAGCACACTTAGTACACAATTGAATGAAGAGTGTTTGGGCAAACAGCACAGGTTTGTAAAGTCAATAGTACTATTACAGTACAGTAGTTACTTAACATATTGCACTACTTTTCCCTAGAAGTATGTTGGCGCTTGCCATCCCGGAAGCATAGAGGTATGGACAGCGAGCATTTCTGCACGGATTGCCTGCTAGTGTCTGAGCATATATCTCTGTCTGTCTGAAAGCAGCGAAGCGCCCATTTTTTCAGGGCACTGCTGCCCGCGATGACGTGGTGGCTAGGTGTGGAATAGTTTCATCATGGACTAAGGGAAGCTTCCTGGTTGCAGAGCACCCCGAATGGGCAAACCCGTCATATCAGCCAGAGGGCAGTTTGGCATTTTTCCTTTCCCGCTCGATGCGAGCTTTGCTCATCGACACAGAATGTCGCTTGCTCTGGAATACGCTGAATGAGCTGTGGTGAATGGAAATTATTATGAGCATTGAATAATCGAGCGATTGTGAACTGCAATTGTGCCAAATTCTGATTGCTGGCTTGCAGTCAAATGGGGTCATCCACCGAATGGAATTTCTCACAGCACCGCGAAATTCGCGGTGCATATTCAATATGCATGAATTGTGAAGCTGATCAGGATGAGGTGCATGAAAATGAGCAGAAGTGCTTTAGTATTGGTGGGTTACAAAGGCCACCCCAAATTTCCTATTGATACACGTGCGGACAACCGCTTGATCGAGTCTGGCTGGACAGCAAAATGTCTGCGGACCTTCCAGGCGACGTTGCGAGCTCACCAATGCTCTTGGGCATGGGATTATGGCAGGGCAGTCCCCTCGACACAGAGGTTGAGGCCATGCAGGGCCATGAAGCAGCAGCACCAGCGTGGACGGCACTCCTCCGAATTAGAAGAGATTACAAGTCAACACAGCTATGCCCTGCTCCCTGCTGGCGTTAGCGGCCAAGCACCAGGTGTCAGACAGGCCACTCCAGATTAATGCCGATCATCGATGTGTTCCACTGCCACAGAAGTCTACGACCCCTCAGGTCGAACCTTCCTCTGGCTCCTCCATCCAACAGCAGCAGTACCTCGCTTCGAAGAATCTACACGCCCAAATGGGACATTTCGCAACCAAGCAACCACCTCGCCCACGACTCCCGCTTAATATATAATTCAATGTGTGTATTCACAAGAACGAACAGTGGAATTTCTGAAGGGCGGCGAAAACGGCGCCATAGTTCATGGTGCAACATTTGCGTGGCCAATTCATGCCGCCAACTGTTGTGGTTGAACTTGAACTTGAACTGGCTGGCGAAGGGGTTATAAATAAACAACACGCGAAGCGCGACAGCCACGCATTCCGCCACAGGGCGCGTAGCGCTCATCGGAACACCCAACGGAATAGAAAACTGCGCGCTCCGCAGCAAAAGCGACAGCCGCAGCCTGGAGGGGCCTCGCGAAACGGGCGCCGCCTCCGCACCCGCCCGCACCGCCCCCTTTCCACACATCCACCCTGTTTCCAGCTCTCCATTTCTCCAAATCCCGGTCCAACTCTCCGCGCGACCCACTCCCGGGTGGCCTATACATCCCAGGCCTCCTCGCTCCACCCGCCCTGCACCCCGTGCTTCATCGACAAGCGCGCCCTGCGCTCCAGAATCTCATCGTTCAACTTCTCCGCGCCCTCGGGCAGCCTCTCCTGGAACCACTTGTGCTGCATGATCCCGCCGATCGAGATCCTGTTCGCCGGCGACGGCGCCAGGCACTGCCGGACCAGGTCCGCGCAGTCGGCCGACAGGCCTTCCCCCACGTCGAACTCCGAGTCGTGCATGCGGTGGATGGCCCGCCGCAGGTCGTGCTGGGACAGCAGGCTGGTGTCCGAGTAGGAGCGGCGCGTGAAGGGCAGCCGCGCGCGGACCATGACGTACAGCACCACGCCGCAGGACCAGACGTCGCTCTTGGCAGGCTCGTGCCCCCCCCGGCCGAACACCTCCGGCGCCACGTAATCCGGAGAGGTGAGGTCGGACCTGCGGTAGACATTGCCGACGACCACTCGTGAGACTTCAAGGGAGGGCCAAGGAATCGGACGCGGAGAACAGCCTACAAAGGAGGAATGCGGGGGCACGTAGTACCTCGGTCTTGTCGGCGAAGATCCCTTCTTGTTTCGGACACCCCAAGCCCTAAATTACTGACCCACTGACCGGGGGTGGCCTTGTCAGCGGAAGAAGATGGGATCCTCACGGAAAAGACACAGGGACCAATATATTCTCCAAGTGCGGGCAGAGTTATTTGACATGGCACCGCCCGGGCAGTGCCGTAATGGGCGGCAGAGAGGGCCCAAAATAGGGGCCAGTACAAGTTCAAGGCCGCGCCTTGAGGAGCAAACAAAGAACGCTCATTGAACGCCAGTTGATGGCGTCGTCTTCAAACACCCCCTCGGCCCATCCCAGTCGACGGAAGGACTCATGGGCCCGAAACACGCATTCCTGAAATCTCGCGATTCGGTCCTGCTGCAACACGGTTCGCACTGCTGATGTGCTGCCCTCGGCAACTCAAGGGCGGTCAAACATGGTCAGCACCACGCCGCGCGGGCAGGCTTTTCGCCGCTGCTGGGGGTGGCGCGCGCTGTCCAGCGGACGGTCGGCAGCCCGCAAGACAAACCCGCCATCCGACAAGTGATCCATCGACCCAGACGATGATGGGCTTGGGGAGCATCAAACTCTGCTAACATGCGGACAGCACCTGCCGGCCGAGCAGCGCCACCCCGAAACCGCCCAGGCCCTCTCGGCTTTCCGCACAGTAGGCGGCGGGCGAATCGCGCAAGCAGAACCAAAGCCGAGCGCACACCGAACGGACACAGCCAAGCAGCCAAGCAGCCAAGCGCCCATCGCACGTCGCCCTGTTCCCCAACCCTCTCCCCACGCCATCACGCGGTACCAAAGCGGACTCCGTCGGACTCAGTCCGCCGCCCAAGCACTGCCGCGCCTTGTCCCTCTCAGCAATTTCTTGTCTCAAGTCCCCGTTCGCTCTGGCTGGGGCCAGCCGGCAGCTTGTCGATGGGCTGCTTCCAGTGAGTTCGCCGGCAGCTGGCAGCTTCCAAACTCCCCTTACCTAATCGTTTACCGATTAATGAATGGATTGGGGTTGTGGTGCTTCCGGTGAGCAGTGGGAGCTGGCGGCTTCTCACCCTCTCTTACCCCATTATTCAAACACTCATGGGTTGATTGAACCTATGCTGCTTCCAGTGAAAATGACAGGGAGTTGGCAGCTTCCCAAGCCCCACCCCCCACCCCCCCGTCTATCGATTAAAGGACTGATTGTGCCCTTTCTCTCTCGCTGGGCCACCTGGCAGCTTCTTCAAGGCGCTGCTTCCAGTTACTCCACAGGTAGCTGGCAACTTTCCCCCCGCCCTCCTTTAACGATTATCGACTGAAGCTGCGCCGCACACAGGGACGCCACCAACGGGAAGACCACGCTCCATATCGTTATCCCCACGACCCCACCCCCCGTCCCGCCACGTCCGCCGTGCAATTATCAACAGGCCCTTGTGTACGCTCTCGATGAACCCATCATTCCCGTCCGCCATTACGTGGCTGCCACGAAACCCCATCTTGTTCCGTCCGCCGTCCTCGCGACCGCCCCCGCTGCTCACACATGCCCGTCCACCAGAAGCACGCTTCCGCCGCCGATCCAAACTCCAAACTTCGGCCCCCACGACGGCTCCTCAAAGCTGGGACACCCCCCCTCCCAGGGCCCAACTACTCAGCATCGGGCCCCAGGGGCGCATCACACCCAGCAAAATGCCCACCGCGTGTGCCCCGCATCCCCCGCCCCCCGAGGACAACGCGCGCACAGATCGCCGCCCCTCACCTGGCCATCCTCTGGTACAGCACGTTCACGGCGGAACCGAACTCTGCCAGCTTGAGGGTGGGCCTGGTGTCCCGGCAGTGTGGGTTGGGGAACAGCAGCACGTTCTCCAACTTGATGTCCGTGACCAGATAGCCCGTCCGGTGGCAGTAGTCCACGGCGTAGATCAGCTGCTGGAAGTAGAACCGCGCCGTGGTCTCGTCCAGAGGCCGGTTGGGCCCGCCCTCTGTCATGTAGTCCGCCAGATTGGCGAGCCCGGCGTCCATCACCAGGCACAACCAGCGGTCCGACTGGAACACATCGCGCAGCTGCACGATGTGCGGGTGCTCCACACGGTCCTGGGCCGGAGGGCCCTCGCGGGGCAGCAGGCGAATCGACACCAAGCCCCCGCCGGCCATCCCGTCCTCCGCCTCGACTGCCGTCGGCGCGCCGCTGGCGTCCCGCGCCAGCACCCGCCGCACCGAGTACCGGTCGTGGCCCTCAAGGGGGTTGGCGGCCTCGCCCATGCCGACAACGCGCCCGCACGCCTAGGAGAGGCTTCCAAGTCCGAGCCGGGGCGCCCTGGGAGTGTTCACCGCGCGGCCCGCTGGGACCAGGGGCCGCCTTGTTACTGATGCGTGGGCTTATTTAGGCCCGGGACGCGTCCGCGGCCGGATCCCACGTGGCCCCCGGGCCCAACGATTTGCGAGAGGCGCGGCCGCCAACTGGGCGCTGACCGTCCCGGGCTGGTTGTCACGTCGGCGCGTCGGTGCCAAGGTAAGTGCCCGTCGCCCGCGGTCACTCTGACATCATCCTGGCGTGCGCAGGCATGAGGCCTGCGGGGCGTCGGCAGGGGTTTAGGAGACAATCAAGTACTTCCGGGGGTCGCGCCGGCAGGCGACCGGCGGGTGGCCCGGAAGCTGCGGTGTCTGGCGTGGCGGCCGGGCCGCGGGGGGCTCGCGTGGGGGGAACATTCCGGAGGGGGCCCAGATGCGGATGATGCGGGTTGCCGTGAGCCGCCTGTGGCCGCTCAGGGCGTACACGTAAGCCTACAACGGCACCCGCACTTCCCGCCAGCGGACAGGGGGAGGGCCCCCGGGAGCAGGGCTCGTTGGGGGTGCTCGTGGCGTCAGCGCCGCAGTTGTTGGTGAGCATGACTGGATTCATGGGCGTCACGGCTTGGTTTTAGCGTTAACACAGCCCAATGTGCTGACAACTTCTCTGCAGTGGTTCAGGTTTCGCTCTTCAGCGGACGTGTTCCAACGTTGCGACAGAAATTAATTCCTGGTGGGTGCCCGCGAGCAACGAAGCATCCAGCCGCCGAGCCCATGGCGCTTGAGCGTCCAAGACTGCGACGCCTGTCACGCCGTGAAATGCAGTAAACTTCGTTTGCACACACCGCACGGATGGGCCCCGTCGCCCTTGGCCACTGCGGGGGAGTTGTCCATCCGTTCTGAACGCAGCCGCCGGCACAGAGAGGCCTCAACGGGTGCCCAAGCGTCGCCAGGCTGGCCTCACAGGATGCGTCACGGACACAAACTGTGCTGAAAGTGTGGGACCCGAATGGAGGTGGGATTCCAGGTCGCGCTGGGGTTTCATCAGCGCGATGGGGCGACACAGCATCGCTTAACGTCGAACTCCATGTAGTATGATTAACAGCGGCAACAAGAACACATGTGCTATGCGGATCCTGCAGCACTGTGACCGCGACGTCGCAAGCTCACTCGAGCAAGCTGGGACAGGCGAAGGAGTGACGCCTCCATACGCCCTGGGACCACCTGTGCCTGACGGATGCCTGGCCCGCAGAAACCCGACTTCGGCGGCGCGAGGCCACCCCAGGAGTCCCTACAAGGGCTCCAGCCGCTCGTTCTTGCTCCACGCTTCGATCCTGTCCACCTTGCCGGCAATTCTGTACGCCCCAAGCTCGGGTGTAAAGGCTGCCGCCACGCGTGTCATCCCCTCGCCCGATTTGCGGCAAGCAGACACCTGCAGACGAGCACCCCCAACGGGTGCCTAAGCATTCAGTCTGCGAGCACATCTCCAAGAGCATTTATGCGGCGCTGAAACGTAGTTTCATGCACTCAGTTCCAAAGCGATCATCGCCACCAAGCCCATCATGGGAGGCGCACAACGAGCGGCAGCGCCCTCATGTCGGGGAACAAGACCAACAAGCGGCGTCCGACTTCCCCCTCAAGGGTCTGGAACTCTGCCAATGTTGGCAAGAAGGCATCGGCGCAGCATGCACCTGCACGACGCGGGTATATGCGGCCCAAGCCATGAGCATATTCTCAGATTCCGCGTCAATTAAAGCGGCGGCAGCATGGCTTTTTCGCTGATACTGCGCCTTCAGTGACGTGAAAGGCAGCAAGTCCGTGATCCATCAGGATTCTGCATCGCCTCCCCCCTGGATGCAGCATCCGTATTTGTTCAACATTGGATTCATCGAGTTAAGTAAACGTGGATTTGACAGAACGGCACAGGTCGAAAAGCCAGAAAAAAAGTTTCAGATAGCAGATATCCAATATTCATCCTTTCCGTAGAGTGACCTCAGCTTGCAACAATTCGGTTAGAGCTGTGATGATAACTATGCGCGACAGGCCAAGTGATGGTCTTCTCAGGTTCCCCGTCTCATGAAAATTGACCTCGAATGGCCATTGTGCGCAAAATGGCCGTTTTCGTCAGCGTGCTGACAATAGGCTTGTCTGCAGGGCTCACAGCACAAAGCGAAGAGTTCGAGATAATGTCGAGCGGGCCCGCAGCAATTCAGCTCAAGCGCTGCACCAGAAGCGTGCTTGCCCCGTTGGTTGTTTCGACTGACTGGCGCACTTCCAGGCGTTTGTTAGGGTGGTGCATCGTTTGCGGAAATGGCCCAAAACCAGAGCAGGGACCGTAAGATTCGATCGACGTACGTCGAGTCCGCCTTTTTCAACCGTATTTTCTCCATGCTGAGTTGCTGAACTTGTGCCTCAGCAAAGGGCAGTACGCGTGCTGTCCATTTCTGAGCCACCAATTCAGCAACTCAGCATGGAGAAAATACGGTTGAAAAAGGCGGACTGGAATCCTATGAATACGGCAATGTCATGCCAGACGCCGTGGCCCCCTCACCATGTCCCTTTCCGCCGGCTCCAACGCCTTGTACCACTTCTCCACCGTCCTGCTCATGCTCCGCAGCAGGGGGTGCCTCTCGCCCAGGACCCTCTCGCCCTCCAGAACACCAGACTCCATGCAGATGACCGCAGAGGCCATGTCCGCCTGCCTCTGGTATCGCTCCCCAAGCTCCTTCAAAATCTCAAGGATCGTGGTCACAACCCCTGCGGCGTCGCTGCGGGACTCCGGCACCTTCAAGAGGACGGTGCTGAGATCGTAGAGCACCGGGAGCATACCTGCGATCCGCTGCAATTTATGAATTAGTCTCCACATTCATGAATCACCCACGCTGGCAAACGGGGCTACAGAACAGGTGCTGGACTACGACCACATGCTGGACACAAACACGAGCACAACTGGTGGCAAACTACTGACCAGTAACACTGACCGTGAACTCCCGTGGAAAACAATTTGTGGCCAGTACTAGCCATCGTTGAACCGCTGCTGGATATGGGCTTCCATAGCGTGCGCTGAAGCCCACAGCAGCACGTGGCAGCACTTACCAACACCATCAGCACACTATCTGTTTCACCCGCACTTGGAATAAACTGGATGTGCACCTCTATTGCTCTCAGTCACTGATGCATGCACGTGCGTCCAATGCACTCCCTGCAATGGAACGCAGGCAACTCAAACGTGCCTGGGTGTTTGCTGGTTCCTAAATGCTGCTCTTGCAATTTTACGGCCTTGGTGAGCAGGTCTGTCGCCTGGCTCGTCGCAGAAGCGCTGGGCGCCCCAATTGAGAGTGTTCGGGCCACATTCCTCAATGCCCACACTCGCTCAGGCACTGGCGTAGATTCGTCCCTTTCTTTCACCCTGTTGCACAGCACGTGGAGATTCCCATGGATTCAGAATCCAAGCAGACAGTGGGTACTTCCTGCCCAAACGTAACTATGTGAAGCTCCTTTCCACCAGGCATCAACAGGTTTTCAAACTTAACCCAGCAGAAAATACTTCTTCTGTGTTCGAGAAAGAATGACAGTTGCAACTGCACATATCCTGTCCCTTTTGTGCGCAAACCGATGCACACATGAAGTGAACAGGTCACCGCCAAGCACAGACAAGAGCTGCGACTTCGAAGATTTTGTCCTCCAACTGCGCATTAGTACTAACCCCGATTCTGTTGGTGTACTGCTGCAGTCATGATGCGGCCATCGTCTCTGAACGCTGCTTCCAAGGGTGCATTGTCGTTGGGAAGGGGTCACCAATAAGGTATGATAAATGGAGAACAGGCGAAATGCTTCGCTTTCAGGGGAAGTGCACATCATGATTAATACCTTTAGCCAGTTTGCTTGACGCCACTATACCGGCTTATGTGTGCGTGTGCGTGATGCACATTTCCTCAATCTGGGATGCTCCTTAGCATCAGAATAAATCACCATTGCATTGACGATCGAGAAGCCAGTTGTGTAGCACAGGGCCAGCGTGCATGACAGGTTGCAAGAGACGCAGGTGCCTCATGTTGGAGGGAGACTAATTCTGCAGGGGCATCACAAGTGGCTATGTCTGTCTAGACACCATACATGTTCCAAAACACATGAAACAGCTGCAGAAACAGACAATACAGGAACAACGAAACGACGCAGAACACAGTACAGGCCACTTTGCTATTGCCTTGTCTGTGAAGCACGGCACCTGTAGCAGATTCACAGAAAGATATGTTGCTGACTTGCCTTGCCGCCACAATTTCATCTCTGTCCGGCCATTGCTCCTCCAGCACCTGGGCTGCAAGTCGAGCTTCAGCTGCCCGCTGACGCTCCTTGATCGCAGCCCGTGCGGTAGTGCTCAAGTTGGCTTCGGCAATGACGGAAAACAGGGCTGCCACGGGATGATCTGAGCCCATTGCACGGATCAAGCTTTTCGAAATCGGCAGCAAGCTGTCCTGTGAGGCTCAAGATTGAGGGGCGAGTCACAACCCAGCAGATGAAGAGATGAAAGGTCACACATCACAAACAAGCAGCAAGAATGAAGTAGCACACATCGCATGGGGTGTTGCAGTACTTTCCTTCCATTTCAGATGTGCCACGTTGCATAATTGGGAATGAGATTGTTCAGACTCGATTTATGGCATTCTTGCGAGGGACCAAGGCACAACTCTTTCAGTGTGGAACGTTCATAAGATCCAATCAGCAATAGCGATGGAGCTGTGGCCTGTAGTCGTTGCCCAGTCTGCCTCTGGGTGATCCAACTTGGAGGGACGCTGCCGAGCACCAGTGTTCGACAACGGGTTGTCGATATCCTACCGCTGTGATGGTGTGCACCTTCCAATAGAATAAGAACCACTGGGGCACAGCATGCAGCAGCAGTGTTGCCCCTAGGAATACTGTGCCAGCCAGCAAGTTTTCAGAAGGAATTCTGGGATGCAGTCAGGTTCTGCTGGACCTCTGCACACTAGATCTTCCAGAACATGCAGTGCAATGACTCTATGGCCATGAAACAAAGAGCCTTGTCTGTTTGGAATGCACTGCAATTGTGCAAACTCAAGTGAGATGCACTGGATTGTCACAGAACAGAGTGCGGCATCCACAGAATGTGAATTCAAACATGCTTCATGCTGGCGATCGTACTGAGTGGCAACCATAATCTTTGTTCTCAAGTTTAGAGATCGCACTCCAAGCGGGTGTGTGTGGCAATGCTGTTGTGGAGCACTCACAATCTAGCATTCACTAATACCTGTTCCAGAGCAGTAAGTTTGCGTTGTGGCAGGTACATAGCATATGGTTTGCAGCGGGGGACTGCGGACAGGGCGTCTGTGAGCACACAATCATTGCTACAGACACCATCACTACAAATGGGCCATTCCCAACCTTAGGGGCTCCCTTAGCCAGACCCTGCAGCATTGCACGCACAATCTCTCCTGCTGCATCGGCAATGTTTTGGTCCCTAATGTGCACAAAGGCAATGCTCCTGATCAGAATGCGTTGAACTTATACCAAAGCACCGCACAAACTCAAGTATCATTCGTTGTGCCACCATGTGACCATAACTTGTGAACTCAACGATCATCTGACAATATTAAACAGATTCTCAATTCCAAAGCCTACAACAAAAAGAGAAACAGCAATCCTGCACATTCCATTCGATGACATACTAGATACCAAGAGCTGGAAGCACAAATGACACTTGGCCACCCCACCCATGCTACATCACACACAGTAAACAACAAAATTCCAACTATTTCAACTGAGTGCATTTTATAACAGTCACAATTGGCAGCCTATAGGCAGTGCCCCAGAGGCGATGTCAGGACTCGGATATTGCTGGTCAGACAGGCCAGACAGGTACAAAGTCTTGCAGTCACTGACAGACCCAACACACTCAACGAACTTCTGTGAAATAAAAGCCCAAAACCTGCAACCAACAGCAAAACAAACAGGACTGTTCGACACAGCGCAGGAGCAAGGGCTGGGGTACCTGGTCTGGAGTGCTCTGTCCGTAAATTGAGCCAGAGTGCATGCTTCTGAAGCATACGAGCACTCAGCACTCTTCATGCCCTTGCAAAAGGTGGCTTTCTCATCTTCCATCATATCCTTCAGCAGATCCCTCACTGCCAGGGCACCCCCACTTTCGTTCAGCCTGCCAATGCCACTGGCCAACAGTGCATCGGTTCGGCTTTCATTGCCTTCTGGAAGCACACCCCACTCCGTCCTAACCTGAGCATCACCAAGATGTCACAACTGATCATGAAAACATCAAGCCCATACGTGTGTCTTTTTGAGAGTTCCCAGTTGGCCGTATCAGGGCAATGCCAGCGTCACTGCCAAATGAGGTTCAGCCCCCTGCATGTTTGATGATGAATGCGTCCTGGTAGCAAAGAAGATAGCTTATCCATGACCTCAGTAGGACATCCATGGGCATGTTCCTCCTTACTATGCACTGTGCTGCAAGGGCTGCCTCAATAATGGGACATCATCAATATGTCAATAATAGAAACCAACATGAGATCATATTTGTAGGATGTTGCATCGCTGCATGTAATCATTTCTTGGCTGTACTTGCTATTTGGTATCATGCTGCGACAGTACTGTAGTACACAAGAATATTCACAACATTCACAGATGCATATTCAAAGAGCAACTAACCACTGTCATGCACTGTGACAGTCATTTGTTGTGCCTCCAAACATTCAATAACAAACTTGTGCTTGTTGCCCTTCTCTCTTGAATATGAATTGCATACAAGTAGTGCGTACTGGTAGCAAGTGGTGAAGATGCCAAGTAATCCATAGGATAGAACTCCATGGGCCAGATGTGCCTACCAACAACTTGTTCCATTTTACCAGTTGACCAGTCAATTATGATACACATGACTTCACTTGATGTTATTCCATGCACAACATCTGAAATCCCAATTCAGTTCAGTCCATGTCAACCACACAGCCAACAATTTGAAGGCAAGGGCATGGTCCTGCAGTTTCGCTGTTCTCAAGTGCACCAGGTGTTGCTCGCATTTCTGCCGCTCTCAGCGCATTCAGTAACAGTGGGGCACACGGAACTACCACGAGAGAACTAGCAAACAGGTGTTACTGCTGCTGCACCCTCCACCACCATTCAGTTTCAAGCTCTCTGTTACGTGCTTGTGCCAACAGACTCAAGGGCATAGCCAAACAAAGCATGGCTGATAGAGATGGCATCCAGCTGACAACAGCAACTGCACACAAAGACAGCCACATGCGTGTGTGGGCTGTGTGTGCGTGTCTGTGTTAATTTTCTCTGCAAACTCGCCTCAAATTTGTCCCGAATCTCTTGGCCTTGCCCCTGCTTGAACTTTTTCAGCGCTTTGGCCAGCCCGTGTGCGGCTGTGTCCTCAGTTCTCAGTGATGCACGCCTCATCCAGTGCTCAAGCTCAATTTCGTCCATGTGTTCAAGGGCCCCAGAGCTCGTCATGGCCTGAAGGCGAACGGCTGACTTGTACCTGTCAAAGATGGTTCTTGACACAGTACCTGGGAGCACAAGGCCACATCAGGGTTTGAGTACGATGGACAGAGATTGCCATCCACTGTTGTTTCTCACATAATGGCAAGCCAACAGACCAATGTACTCTTCGTGGTTTTCTCTGCACGATAACAAGAACAATTAAGTGGGAACTTTGCGCATGGCACGTTTATGCATCGTCTAATGGCCCTTGTTGCGAATTTCAATAATCTATACAATGAACACCATCACGTTCTCTAGCACACAGCCAGACCTGCTGTGGTGTGAGAGTGCCAAGCCTGGAAGACACAGCTGGCAGCAGTACCAGTCCAAAGAACAAAGCTGTGTCTCCACAACATACATTGTACACAGTCTGCAGATACTGCTTTATCAAACAGACCCGCACATGCCCAGTGGACAGCCACCGGATAGAAATCCCTGGCTGCGAACGACGATCAGTATCAGTGCAGCAGCAGTCACAACACAAGTTTCCAACAACATTTGAGGCATTCCATGGCTCACTGAAGTTCGTAGCAGAACAGAAACTCTGGGAACACTCCATACTGCCCAAATTTCCAGGTCCCAGAGCTATTTAGTCCTGTTTACCAGCCAATTCGCCACACTCCTGTTGGGCATCTTCAGGTGATGTGCAGTTCAAAATCAGCATTTGGGCTTCAGGAGCAAGAGCAGTGGACATGGACACCTCCATCTGCACCTTGGCAGGGTCCTTGAATGGCCCTGCGGTGACAGCCCCAGCTGGAGCAGGGCGGACGATGACATATCCCTCGGCCCGCACTGCAAATCTACAGGGGCATCAGATACTGAATTCAGCTGGTGTGTTCCTCAATCATTTGGATCACCGCGCAAGTCACTTTAGGCACATTTTGGTGCTACCCAAACACAGGCAGCCATGGTACCACCCTCTTGTGCTCGCTGAAGTGAGGTGTCCATGTTTACACCTTATCTCTGGCTGTTTGCTGCAAAGGTCACCATCGCAAGGTGCCCTTCTTCGGTTGCTGTTAGTAACCTTTGCTGCATTAAACATGACTTGAATTGCCTTGCAATGTCAGCCAGGCTGAGACCACGTCCAGCCTTGGCAGCAACCGAGAGGTCAGTGCTCTTCACTTGGAATTTTATGGTTGCAACTCCCCAAAAGAGCGATTTGGTGCTTGCTGCACCCACACTCGCCATTTGAATGCAATTTCTTTTCATTTCTTTTCTAACAACAGCATTCAACCTAACTAGGAAGGAAACATTTTTCACCACATGCATGACTGCTGCACTCGTTTCAAGTATGTGCACACCCTCACTTTTTCTTAAGCCGTTCCAGAGCTGCTTTCTCGTCCCTCCTCTTCCTCTCTTCCTCTTCCAGTCTCCTTCTTTCATCTGCTTCAGCTCTTTTCCTTTCTTGCTCCTCCAGTAAGGCCTGCCTCTCAGCTTCGATACGAAGCCGCTCTGCTTCCTATACAGAGAAAGGCAGCATCAGTCACCAACAAGTGCCACAAACGAAACAGTAACTGGATTCATACAGCAGCACGATCAAAGCGTTGCTGTTCACCGCAAGGGAATGATATGAATGCACCGATGAAAAGGGAGTGATTTTAAAAGATGGCACAGCAAATGATTCTTGCAGATCGCTGTAACAACTCCCCAAAGGTCAACGGACAGACAACCAGCCAATAGCCTGCAGCCCACCTCCTTTTTCTTCAGCTCCATTTCCTGAATGATCTTTTTCTCCGTCTCTGCACGTTTGTTCAGTTCCTCTTGCATTGTACGTTCTTTTTCCTCAAATTCCTGCAGGGTGACAGTCCTTTTCACTGACATCCCCCTAACCTTCAGTTAGACTGGCACTGTGTGCTCCATCTGCTGGCCACACACAACTGCCAGAGCTCCGAAGACACCTACTTTTAAGCCGCAAGTTGCAACACTTCACAGCAACATTAAGGGGTAACGATGACACAAAGCAGGCACAGCTCTCTGCCTTTGCTAGTCAAATTACCAGCTCCCTCCACCACAACAGCCAGTAACTGGAAAGTCTGTCACACAATGGCTGCAACAGGTGCACCACACCCTTCTTTTGGCTTCTTGGATACTCCTCAATTTCGCAGCCTCCCGATCCTGCTCTTCCTTGTATCGACGCTCCCGCTCTTGGCGCTCAATGTCTGCCTCTTCTGCTTTCCTCTGGGCCTCCTTGACTCTGCACAAATACAATAGAATCTCCTTCTTAGAACGTGACTGGAACATATCATAGCTCATTTCCGTGCACATATTACATCCTGGGCGCTAAATGTCTTTGAGACTGTTTCCATAAGCAAGTGCAGCTAGAGCTTTTCTGCTTTTGATTTCCTCAGCGTGCTTCCAGCAGTACTGCTCATCTGGCCATGCAGGCATTAGATGAAGCCATTCAGAACATGCCCGTCATACAAAGAGACTGACCGCACCGATTGCCTGTTCGTGCATTCACATGGCTAAGCGGGCATTGGCCTCTCCCAGCAAATGTCAAGAAAGCAGATCTGGACCAGGGCAGGCAGCTTGCAAACCATGGTGCTGCCCTGGAACACATCTTCCCCGTTGCACCTAAAGAACGCTATGCTCTTCTTTTCCGCACAGTGGCCCAAATTGTTGAAATGAACAGCAAACACATCAAATCGGTTTGTGGACCGCAGGTACCTGATGCCACAGAAATAGTACTTGAATTAAATGTCGACTTTGCTCCCCAGCATTTTTCTCTGTCCTGAGCAGCATAGCTGCCATGACTGCACAGCTTCAATACAGAATATGGCCAGCCTGTCAACATCAGTGATGCACACAAGTGTTCGAACGTGGACTCAACCATGCTTTCAGCATGGCTTGATGCTGTGCTTGTCACCTTTGGGCAGTGAGTTCTGCCTTCCTCTGGGCTTCCTGTTCCTCATACTTCTTCCTCAATTGGGCCAGCTCTTTATTGGCCCCCATCGCCTTCATGTACCTTGCCTGCTGCAGACAAAGAAGCATTACTTCTGGCAAATATGCCAATCACACAGTGCTCAACCAACGAAAGCAACACCGCATTTGCCAAATATTATGCTTGGACCAGTCATTTCTGGGTGTTGAGGCAGCAGTCATCGCCACAGGTATTCAGGACTGGCAGACTTGGTCAGACCAACATCGCCATACACGGGGGCAAACACAATGTCTGCTCTGTTTTGCTTCATGTCAATTCAGATTATGCCACAGAACGGATCAGATACTCTGATAGAGACAATCTCCTTGCCCCTCAGTAAAAGTGTGCAACTCAGTTTGCATGTCCTCAAATGCACAAATCTTTGATAGCAGGAGGGAGGTAAAACTGTTGGGACATATCATAAAAGTGTTGTGTTGTAGATGCCACCTGGCATTCGCTTGACAGATACAAGGGAATGTTTTGAAGCTTTGGGGCATAAGCAGATTGCCAACAAACAAGGGGTGAGGTAAGATTGGGGGATGAGCCATTCCTGTACTCTGCTGTCTTCTCAAGTGGGGGTTTGGGCTTCTAGTACAATTTGTCAGGCGGCAGGTGTCTGATGCCATTTCACTGTGATAGTTCAGCAGCAGCACATGGCATGACTGGAGTGCTGTGCCACACGATCATCAAACATGCATGCATGCCGGCACATTATTACACACCTTGGATGATGCAGATGTAACTGCGCCAATGTTTAGCAGCGCAATTGACCATTCAAGAATGCAAAAGTCCCTTGCAGTACTCTGTACATCATATGCATCTTGCACTCCTAAAAGGAGCAAGGGAGGTTTGCTCCTTGGGGCGCTTGCCCGCAAGGTATGACTTTTCACAGACCTGGCTATCAAAAGCCACCAATCGTCTCAGGTCAATTGCGCTATTATCTACTTTCGATGCTGGATGTGATACCTTGGACTTTAGAAGTGTGACTTTTATGTGTTTTCACCCCTCAACTGCAGCTCTTCCTTCAATGGGACAGAAGGCATTGATACCTCACAGCCTTGGCCACACAGAGCCAATAGATGGAAAACCAATTCTGCACACATGTTCTTGATGTGAAATATGCCCCAACTTTGCCTTGGGCAGATGCAATGGTAGTGGGTTGCCTTGATTGGACGATTGTAATCAAGACAGCCGCCCTGGAAATGTACAAAATCTTGAAAGGTACAGGGCTTCAGCAGAATGCTGAAGGGTGTCGGATGCTGGCCATGACATTGTTGCCACCACCTCACCTCCATTGACCTGCGATCCAGCCGTTCTTCTTCACTTGCCATCCTGCCCATCCTTATCGAAATTAGGATGGCGCATGCCAAAATTGTTCCTAGAGGGGAAGTCCTGGAAGGCAGAGACTCGGGAGGGCTGGTAGGTGTTGCTATGCCAGTGAAGTGCTGGCTGTCCTGTTCACCAAGGCGCACAGTCAACATGAAATTCCAGCGGGCCAGTGCCATATGTGGTTTTATCTCTTCATCATATTTGAGAGATCAGGTGCCAGCGCATCCCACTGAAACAGATGTGGGTTATTTGCCACATCACAGGGAGGGAGATGCAAGTGTCCAAATGATTTGACAACAAGATACAACTGCCAGAATTCGAAGCAGACAAGTTTTCATGGAATATCATACCAAGGTGCAATGTTCAGCATTTTTACATTGCCTTTGCTTTCCTCTATTCTGATTCCAAACATAACACATCAGCTTCAGGAGTTGGCAGGCTCCCGATTGATATTCTGTCAGAGGCCAAAATGCTTCACACTGCGGCCCCCCCTACCCTGCCAAGATCACTTCAGCTAGCACATGTGTACAGCTAGTACATGCTGCAAAAAGGTGCTGTGCAAGTCTCTGAATACCACAGGACATTATTAGAAAGAAGTTCACTTGCCAGGACGGAGGAAAAGGCTGCCAAATAGGTTGAGGATGGCACCGTGCGCAGCACGGTTGGAATAGAAAAGGTGCAGGTGTGCGCCGACGCAGAGAGCGGTTCAATATGACCTTGCTGGAGCTCATTTTCGGTTGGTTGTGGGAACTTGCCAAAACTTCTGTCCACTCAATTTCCTCTCATGGAATGCTCTCATCACCTCGATATCCGGGGTGCTAATACTTCAATCACCAACACATCCCGTGCAGACAGAGGAGCCATCCACCGGGAGCAAACATGGCTCCACTGGAACTCGATCAGCTGCCCCGCAATGTCGATTGGTAACTGCTTCCCACAGGCAGATCCCCGCCCACCCACGCAACCAACCAACCAAGCCCCAATTTGCGCGCTTGCTGCATCAGCTGCAAGACATCCAGCGTCCACACAGACTATTGAAACGGGTTCCCGCAACCGGCCATTCCCAAACACCCAACTCTCCGTTGCTCATGGCGCCCCCACCCCCGCCCACTCGATCGCAACCCCATGGGCGCACCGAAGAAAGCATACCACTCACCGATGCAACGGCGTCGGCGCCCGCAGGCGACCCCTGGCGCCCGCCTGGCGCCGCCCCGCATGCGCTGCCATGCGCCTTCGCAACCTCCCCCCCGGCCGTTCCGGGGCAGGTCCTGATGACCTTGTTCCCCGGGCCGCATCGCCACGGCGCCCGGCGCCTCGCGGCGCCTCGATGGGGCCAGGCGGCCTCCCCGGCGCCGCCCCTGCCCCGCGCCTGGGGCACGGCGACGCCGATGTCGACGTCCATCGCCTCCAGCGCGAAATCCTTCGCCGTCGGACATCGCAGCCACGCCGACCAGCCCCACTAAAATGCTTGCAGCATTAATGAAGATCCCTTCTTGTTTCGGACACACTGTTACGGCTAGAACTGATTGAGTGTTATAAATAACTGAATGTATGAAAAGATGACGAAGCACTAGGAATTACATTAAGGATGTTGATGAACGGACTGGGTATAAAGGACATAACGCCTGTTGTCCTTTTGCCTCGGCTGTAAACCGTTGCCGTGGACTTGAGCGTACGATTCCCGTTCAGGGATCGCCACCCCTCGACCCTGCCTGCCTTCGTCAACACTGAACCGTAATACACTGACCCCCTCGCCGGCGTTGGCCTCGTCAGCGGAAGAAGGGGGGGTCCCCACGGAAACGACAAACAATATATTCTCCGCTGCGGTGGCCCATTCACGGACACCAGCCCCGGTTCTTGGGGCCTCGGTTGCCTTGGCGCGTGAATCTGTGCAGCCGCCCCGTTGCGCGTGCGCTGGCTTGTGAGCGCCTTGCCGCTCCGGGGTGTCGTGGAGGGGGCCTGGCCGCCTTTCGCTGGCCGGCTGCGACCTTCGGGAATCTGGGCACGAAGGGATCGATCTTGCGGCGCTCGGCGTTCCCATCACACGTGCCTCGCAGCCCGGGTGGATGGCCGGCGAGCGTAGGGGCGCGCTGGTGGGAAGGGCTTTGTGGGGCCATTGGTTCGTGCCCTGTTCGCCACTGGAATTTGGCCCTGCAGCGCGGGAACCACCAGCCAGTCGTGTCGTTGCTTACAGTTTGTGTGCCAAGTGACGGGGAATTGGCCTTGCATCAGCGATCATGCTGATGTTCTCATATTTTCAGTTGGAAAATGGCAGGAGGATGCTGATGCTCGCGTTGGTGTTGTCGATTGAATTTCCTTTTGCACAAGTGAAGAAGAAATGATCGCAGAAAATGCTGGCATGGCTGTCGCGGTCATCGCCCACCACTGCCCACATCCTGAGTTCAGTGGCTATCTCCTTCTGTTTCACAAAGAGATTGCTGTACTTGTTCCTGTTGGGCTCCCGGAAAGGCCACAGTAATGCCTGGCACAGCCTCAGTGCTCAGGAATGCATGCACATACTGAAATGCCTGACTTGGAGGAACTGGATCAAAGTGCTGTGGTTGTGCACACGAACCAGATCCCCCGTACCTTCCCAGCTGGATACCTTTTTTCTTCTTACGCCAGCGTGTCCCCATATGCACAGGTAATTTTCTGGTATTTCTGGGCCCTAGCATTAAACTGTTTTGACATGAAATATTTCCCACTGTTGAGTCAAGTTGAAATAGTGAGAAATTGCCAGAAATCGTATACCAGCGATGTGATGTACATGAAAACGGGGTCCATATCAGGCTGAGTGGTTTAAATTTATTCAGCAAGTCACGTAAAATGTGTGAAATGTCACCATGTTTCTTGCTTATTCAAAGGTGTTTCTTGAGTTGCACTACATGGCCCTGATGTGCACGTCTCCCATAAGTCAGTTGCCATGCAGGCCGGTTTGCATGGTCCTCCTAACTAATCAGAATACATAGTATATATTATATTAGACTATAATATTATAAGGTGGCATTTTCAATGTCTACGAAGGGTTCGAATGGGGGGCATCAACGTTGGTCTACAAGTCACCAGCTATGAGGCCAATACTCATATGAGGTGGCAAAAGACCCACATTTATGTCAGGAAGGGAGATGCCCAAACTCAAGCAAGAGCACAGTACATGTCACACCACTGCAAAAGCTTTCAATGTAAATTACATATGTGCACTGGACTGCACCATCAGTCGCTGCTGGGTGTGTGAAGAAAGCTTCCATACCTGTGCACACTCCAGCAATGAGCACACCAATGGTGCTAGTTCAGTCGAGCGATGGCATTCACGTATCTCCACAGTGAACTGCCCGATCCAGTCTTGTTCGAATCAGTCAACATCATCGGTTTGAATCGAACAATATTTTCAGATTATTATGCTGTCATGAAAGTTGAGAAGCCAAACATCCCACACACATTTTATTCTGCTTCACGGATAGATTATGCAGTGATGGGAACCACAGCCGGGCGTGATGTTGCTGCACACGGCATACAATGCACATCAGTCCAGTTCAATAGAATGATCTAGCAGATGGCCTCGGTAGTCAGAAGGCAACTGTGGACAGAGCGCATCTTCTGATGATGGTCCAGGGCGCTTCATCAACAAGGTGGCTAACTCATAACCGCCAGTCAGCAGTCCGAAAATTCTCGGAGCGGCGCACCTGGGGCGCTGCAGGTGTGCTGCAGTGTGCACACCAGCACGCTGCCAAGCGCTTGGCTCCCACCATGCCCGGATGGGAGACAGCTGTCGGACAGGCACTGCACAACAAGAGGGCGGCATTTGAACGCCAGAAAGGAGCAAAAAGCAAAGTGTCCTAATCCCGTGAAGGCTGTCTTGCCGGTCAGGGGTGGGTGTTTATATCAACGCTGTATCCACTCCGCTGAGACAGCGGGACCTTCGGTGTGGCTTGGTGTTTACTAGAGTACTAAAGCAATGAAGCTCACCAAAGTACGAATCGGATTGCTGCTCACATGAGTACTGCGGTGAAGAACAGCAGGACTAATTGACGGTCCCAAGGTGCGCCCTGCGCAACAAGCCCGAGGTGCCCTCGCGAGGTCTGCACGGAAGCCACGAGGCCAGCGCGCGGCCACCCAACCGCGCCCGTGCCCCGTTTCCAGCTCACGTCGCCGCTAACCTTCCCCGGACGGAGGGGCGGAATCCCGATTGGCAGGCCAAGGGCCGCCACCCTCTCCCTGACTGCGCTGGGGAGGATTGCCGCGGCGCCCGGCCATTGCGATCGCCGTTCTGGAACCTTTAATGGGTGAGAGTCTTGGCGGCGGATCCTGCCATGGGGCTGTGCTACTTGTGGAGACGCGGCGGGGGCGGGAGTGGGGACTCCTTGTTCCTGAAGCGAGTGTTGGACCGTCGTCCAAAGCAAGACGCCCGGGTGCCGAATGCTGCCTCGGTCCCCGTGGCGTTTTCGGGAGCGTCCAAATCGACGCGGCGCGACTTTGTCGAGGCACCGCCGCAGTGCACTTGCAAGGGCGGCCCCAGAATGGGGCCATTTTCTCCTGGGCCTGTTTGGATTTGCGTGCTCTGATCCTTTCGATTGCAGCCTGGCAATTCGATGTGTTTGGGAATTTGTTGCACGTGCCCCTCTGAATTGCGATTTGCTGCAGTCGGGGGAAGTCTATGGCATTCCTGAGTCAGTACGGTGACGAGCGCTGCGATAACTGCTGCTCACCAGGGGACTATCCACTTTCCGTCCAACACGCGCTTTTCATTCCTGTGGATCATTATTTATTCGGCTGTTCAGGGACTGGGCTTCAGTGCCCGTTTCCAGTCGTTGCTGCAGTCCTTTGCTGAAAGGCGAGAATTCTCCTTTGGGTGTGCACTCCGAACGCACACAGCTGCCAAGGAGTATGAAGTTTCGACAGAGAACCTAAAACGCCTGCGCATGGTCACTGGTGATGTTGCACACCAGAGTGAAGTTGTCCCTTTCTGTTGATGCGCAGTGGATGCCAATTCCAAACGCACACAGGCTGCGCCATGCTCCACCTGGTCTGCGTCGCCGCTGGGTCGCCAAATCGTGTTGATTGACCAGAGAGATTACTGTGGAAGGACTTGATTCCCAGTCTGAAGGACACAACACACTGACCACATCTGCCCAGGTGCGAAGCCAGGGTCCTGTTGGCACATGACACGGTCGTGGGCGCCATTGGGAGCCTGCTTGGCATGGCAGTACTCCGATCCAACCAACACACTTGACGGACATGATAGCAATATCTGCAGAAGATAAAAAGGGACAATCATTCAATGGGCATCACCCCTGCGCAGTGTGACTCCTTTCCTCCTCGGAGTCGTTTTGACGTTGAACAGATGTATCCAGCATGAGCAACACGGTGAAGGGAAGTGTGGCTATCTGCAGTGCGTTCTCTTCAACTGCAGTGCAGCCCTTCGTTTTCAACAGAATCCAGACGTGACTCAAATGTCAAACCACTACTGCCTTGTTGAGTAATTGTAGAAATACTGCACACAATAATTCTCCCAGTGCCTTGGGAGAAATGTTTTAAGTGCAGTACAATCCATGCTGCTGAGCTGAAGCCAAGGCGCAAGGCTATGCGATTGACTGAAGGTTGCTCTGTTGCCGAGATTGGCTCCATGCAAGAGTGTTCCAATGCCATACTGACTGCATTTGGAACATGGAGGATTGGGTGTTCCATGGATTGTTTGACTTTTCCTCAAACACGATTCACCTTCCCTCGTTCGCCTCACTTGCTCTGGCAGTTGTGAAATGCCTCGGCATTGTAGTCCCAAGCGATGAGCAGAGCAAATGCCAAAGAAACTGGGCATCATGGCTAGCAACGACCTCATGGGAGGGCCATATCCTAGTTCAATTTGAAAGTTGAGATGGAGATCTTGCTGTGTCAACTGCTGCAGTTTTGATGTAGTGCGTTTGTTTATATTCAAAGGTTCTACAGCATGAAATACGTGCCAAAGGTGAAAGATGAGGTCGAAATTATTATGGACGAGTCTGGCTTCAAGGACTCATTTTTTGCAGCTACTGTACTGAGCCTGGAGGGCAACAAGGCAATAGTGGAGTACTTCGAACTGCTTGAAGGCGATGATGAAGGGGACGCCTCTGAGAAGCTGAGAGACGATGTCCCATTTACCAAAGTACGCCCTGTTGCAGATGACGACTCCATGACCAAGAGAGCAACAGATCGACACCTGGGAGATGCTGTGGACTGTTGGTACAATGGAGGCTGGTGGAAGGGGTATGTGCACAAGATCTTTGAGGACAGCGTGGAGGTGTTCTTTCCCTCCTCACCAAATGAGGAGTTGAAGGTGTTCAATCAGGTGAAGGACGACCAGACCGTCAGGGTGCGGTCTGCTTTCGATTGGCTGCCAGAGAGCAGCGAGTGGCGGGCACGGGAGAGGGTTGTGTACCACGGTGCCAGGGACCATCGCTATGACACCATGAAGCTGGTGGGGACGCCCAAGAAGAGGCCGAGAACGGCTAGCAGGCGAGAAGCAACTCAGGATCAGGCCAGGGGGCTGGACAAGCGGAGTGCACAGTCCCGAGCTATAGAAAATTGGTCAGACGATGAAGATGAAGAGCCTGCAAGGCCAGTGAAGGTTAAGTCGAAATCCATTGAGGATGGCAAGAAACAGATGAAGCCACCTGTTCAAACGCCACAACAACCCGATGCCAAGCAAAAGGAACAACCCCAGTCCAATGGTGCTGGCACTGGAGCTAAGCTGACGAGCAAGCCTGCTGCTGAAGCAAAGCACAAGAAGGAAAGGCCACTAGGGTCATTGACAGCAGGAAGACCAGCAGCAAGGAAAGAAAATGGAGCAGGATCGCTGAAAGGTGACAAACAAGCAGCAAAGAAAGAAAAGGCGATGAGCTCACCAGCAGATGGAGAACCAATGGAGAAGAAAGAAAAGGCGAAGAAGGGAGGCATCAGGCAAGCAGAAAATGTAACCAGTAAGAAAAGTGCCTTGGGGATTGGAGCATTGCAAGGAATGCACAAGGTGGAGGGAGTGCAGGATCGAAAAGTCGTTGTGAGGGGTGAAAAAATAGATATGCTTAACAGAGCGAAGGCCAGCAGTGCAAGGGGCAACGGAGCTGATCTTGACTGGCCGAGACCACAGGTGGAAAAGAAAGACGCTGGTGGAGGAGGAAAGAAGCTGGCTGCCGTGGGCAAGAAGCACATGCCTGGCACCCGATTAACATGCTCCACACCAAGGAACCATGAAGAAGGCAAGAGGCTAAAGGTGGTGTCGAATTCCCAGCGTGCAAGAGATATGCAGGACTTCTTTTTGTCACCTTCCCCAAAGAGGAGTGAGGCAAAGGACATTGTGGATTTCTTTGCATCTCCCAAGAAGGATGACGGCAACACTGTGGATCCAAAGACAGAGGAGACAGGTGATGGACACCCCAAAGCGACCAGTGTTGACCATTTCTTTGAGCCTCCAGTTATGCAGCAGGCAAAAATGGCGACAGCCATGGCTGAAGACACGCACAACGACCCAAAGATGAAGCCTGGTGCTGCGCCACCCAGCAAACCTTTCACTATTCCCAAGCTGAGTGACGACCCCACCTTCCTTTCCAATGTGGACATGCGTGGCTGGCGGGAGAGGCTCCAGGACCGAAAGACAAAGGACAGGCGCTACAACGGCGAGGCGCTGGAGTCGAAAGTCTGCATAGACAACCTAGGCTTTGCCTTTGACGAGGAATGTCTGAGGGACGAGCTGAAGTCCCGGTTTGGCAGCATCGTGGAGGTGGAGTTTGCCACAGGCTCGTTGAATGGCATGCGCTACAGCGCCGGGTGGTGTTGTGTGACATTCCCGAGCAACACCGCAGCGGCCCTGGCTCTGGAGAAGCTGGACAAAATGTACCTCAAGGTCGGGGCCTGCCCTATACCCCGCCCGCTGATCGCCCACTTTCCAATGTGGATGGGGTACCCTTGGGGCAAGCAGGAGGCGATGCCTGGGTTTCTAAAGGTCGATTCTGTGGTACCTCCCCATTTCTCCCAGAGAAACACCATCGAATTCCACTCGGCCATACAGTGGCGGCGCCACGTTGGGACAGCACGCATGACCAAAGATGTGATGTGCGAAGAGAACGTCAACCAGCTCTGCGATGTGATCAGAAAATACTCCGCTGAGCTGGAGCAGCCCGACAACGGCGCTTTCTCCCAAGGCCCACCACCAGGCGTCCCGAACCCGTGCCTGTGGCTGAAGGGGGTGCCGTTGGACATCGACAACAGTGCGCTGCGCACCGCGTATGAGCAGTTCGACGACAAGGGCCGCTGCAAGGTCAGCCGCCCCAACAACCCTGCGTCAGGCAGCTCCTATGGCCACGCAGTGGTGGAATTCGGTGAGGAGGGAAAGGCAGTGCACGTTTTGGAGGACATGCGGCGGCATATCTTCCACTGTGGCGGCACCCCCCGTCCTGTGGAGGCAGACCTGTTCCAGCCTGGTCGGCCGCACGGTTTCCAGGACGTGTTCGATCGGGCGTTGGCCAGGGTCCTTGGGATTGACATGTCTCGGGTGAAGCCCGAGCTCCTCAGGGACATGCGGGTTGTGACGATTTCAGAGGCGGCCACGCCTGTGGAAAGGTGTGCGAAGGAGCTGCGGGCCAGGCTGGACTTCCAGATGCAGGGCATTGCGGAGTATTACAGGGAGATGAGGGCCGTGGCGTGGGAGCTGCACTACGAGCAGCAGAAAATGTTCGATATGCAAAGGACGAAATACGAGCTATTGACACAGGCGACAGAGTACCAAGTAATTAAAAGTATCGTAGGCGACGGCCCTGCGGTCTGAGACTGTGGGACGGGCACCCCTGGTTGTCGTCGAGGCAGGTCGGCGTCTCTGAGTCGTCGAGCTTGGGCGGGGGACGATGCATTCTGGGTGCTGCGGTTCGTGTAAAGTGTTCCAGGCTATCGGATGCCATTATGGTAGCAGACAGACAGGGGAATGGCGTGTGTGCTTGCGCGCAGGGTGTAGCAGCAGCCCGGATGACGACCGAAGGACTCGCTGCCCGGCTGCGGAAGAGGAGCCTCGCACTCTCACAGCACCTCCAAGCTGTCACGGGATGGAATGGAGTGTTCCCCTTTCATGGTACAATTTGCATGACAGCTTGCCCCACGAAAGTGCACATGCGTTCCTTTCCGCGTGCCAGCTTGTCCATGCCGCGTATGAGCGTGCTTCTACCCAACCATCTCCTGTTTGGCCCACACCATCTTTGTTAATGCTTCCCTTCATACCCCGCATACGACCTCCGACCCCAAAATATCCTTTTTAGTCGATCCCCTCGATGCGCCCATGTTTTGAGAGTTCAATCAATTATTCTATGTTGTTCTATCAATTGTCGCATATAATCCGTTCTATTTGCTCCACTCGCTGTACGTAACGTGTTCTATGTGTCTTGTAGCGTAACACAGAGCGTTAGGCACGATCAGCGCTGGGCAAACCTGATGTGTCGCACAAGGCGCCGTCGTTGATAGCACTGTACTGCTGCCTGTGGTTTTGTAGAACATGCTGTGAGAGATCAAAACGGCGAGCAGTTTGCTTGCGGCTGTGAGCTGGAAGGAGGGGGGGAGGAGCCAACTCACGGGCTTCATGCCTATAAATGTTTGCACACAAATGTCTGCACGCAAGCGAGCGTGCACAACGAATTGGGTCCATACCTTCGCTTTCCCGGACGTTTTGTCCAATGAGCGCGTCTGCTTTTATGGTATGTACCAAATTATGCATACCGCACTGCTGTCATATACCGTACTACTATTGCTGCATAACGATTATTGTACAGTAAATACTGTAATAGTACCTAAAGTAATATTACTTTATGCCCATTACCATTGGTAAGAGATGCCATCCATCATAGGGGCGCTGCATTGTCGCAACGTGAGATGGTCGCCAGTGACCAAGTCACGGACCAAACCACTGAAGACACACATCAACGCACCGGGAGCACTTTGGCGTGTGGTTCCGCGGGCTTTGCGCAAGGATCCCCCCTGCCCTTGGTGACACCGTCTAACAGGAACACCCCAACGAAAACACGGGATTGATGTGCCATGCTGACCATGAAATGATTGCTGCCGCCAATGAGTTCCCAGAAACGCAGAGGAGCTCACCCGCCGAATATGGGCACACAAATACACGCAGGCGGAGCAGTTGAAGAAGACGGACAATTGGGCTGTTTGTGGCCATCCACACACATGCCGATCCCGGATTTCATGGCGCTACAATATACGTACAATCGAAAGAAGAGTCATGTAATTCATGCCTTATCCGTCGCTCCCAACGAAGCCAGCCAATTGCGGGCAAAGGCTGGATCCCCAACATGGATTCTGTATCCGGGGCTTCCGATGAACGGGCATCTGGCGCGGGGTGAATAGCACCTGCAAGTGCGTCACCATCACCATCTCCGTTGGACTCTGCCATCATGGGCGGATAGCACCCTTTCAGGACAAGCTGTACAACGCAGTACGATAAAGTAGTAAGTCTTATTCCGCTCTCCACAGATCATCGATTTGATGTGGAATGCCCGTAGCGCCCAGCGGGGCTGGGTTAGCCTCCTCGACAGATTGGCGCTTGAGTTGATTGCATTTGCCAAAGCGGATGCCTTTTTCGTTGCGACGCTTTCGATGAACCAGTCTGTTGTGACAGTGGTAGTCTATCGAACGATAGTGGCTGTGGCCAAGAGCAGTAGTCGCTATGCGCACAGCCATCGTTCCCAGCCCATCCGCTGGGAGTCCCGCCTGTCGAGATCGCGAATGCGCAGCGGGCGTGTCCATGCAAGTGCTTTTCCTACTTTCTGAAGATTCGGTTCTGTTGGAGTTCCTGGTAGCTCAGGAATGTGGAGCTTTGCTTGCAACTTGTAGGGGTGTTGGATGGTGGTTTCATTGGACGCGTTGGGTTTTCTGCAGCCTCGGCCTGGTGCGAAACTATGCATGCTTTTCAGAAATTGGATGTCGGCGCCACTGGGCTGTGAATACGGAACACCATGTGCTGACGCACTAATGTGCGCATTTCAAAATTTGGGCGAGCCCGCAGTTGACAGATGTAGGTTCAGTCCAGCAGTCATTCGGGCTTAGTTGATTGCCGCTTCCATCCGTATTGTCCATTGCCATCATCGTTGAAATGATGCATATGATCGATTCATCAGTTTGCCCTAAGCTTTGCGACGCTAGGCATTCTAATCAAATAATGGCGCATTACCATTGCTTTCAAATCTCTGATTTCCAGTGGCGCTGAAATTGCCATGAGCTGTGGGCCACTTGAACTGGACCTGCCCTTCCTGCTGATGTCTATCTGATGTCTCAGATGATTGGGGCCCGTTTTGAATGCCGACAATAGAGATTTTGATGGGGCCTTTTGTGAAGACTGAAGCGCCAAAGGGCAGTATGGGGACAAGTCATGAGTTCTGGCCACTTTTCAGTAGCGTTTTGGGTACCTTCTAGGCTTACCGTATTTACCTTGTATTTGTAGGCGTGTATTGGACCCTCAAAATAAGCATTGGATAGTAATAGTGGGTCATGTATACTAACGCGGTATGGACCCCTGATCCCAAAGAGTAGACAGAGAAAAGTTTTGACAGATAGGCTGTGAAATGCCCAGAAATGGGCAAGGATGGCAATGCTAGTGTGGAATGTTGTCAGCCTCTTCATGGGAGCTGGCGGCCTTGACTTGGGGCTGCACCAGGTGGTGGCAACTGGCGATTGGGGCCAATAGGGGTTCGTTGGAATGTTCGAGGCGCAATTTCCTCTGCAATGCAAAGAACAAGGACCGACACGGGTCTCGACTCGCTGGGGCGCAACGCCGCAACGATAAGCTTGAAACGCGGCTCTTTCCCAGGTTGATGGCAGCTGCGAAGGCTGATGTGATCTGTGAATGTGTTTGTGGCCTGGTACCTAGTACGATGGCGAATTGGGGACAGGCCCGGCCTTGGCAGCGTGTTGTGGGCAGTTTTGAAAGGCAGGGTCTCACAACGGCAGCCGCCCCCACCAACGCCATCGCCTATCCATTCCTGGCGCTAGGCCTTGGAGCGCCCTTGGCAGGCGGCAGGCCGGAACCTACACTGGCCGGCCGGGGAGCAGGTTAGCTCAATCCAGAAGCAGGGCGACTTTGATATCTCGACCGCTTTTTTAATTGGGCCCCAAGGCATCGGTCGATCCCCGGCGATCCTGCGCTGAGAGCGCCAACGGCGGGCAGTCGACCATGCGGCCTTTCGTGAGCCCCCTTTCAAATTCTCCCTCAACAACATCCACTCCGGCCCGATCGTTCCCGTCGATGTGCGAATCGTAGGGGAACACGGTTTGGTCTAGACCAGGCAACGCAGTCCAACACCAGTCGCCGACTTCCCTTGCCACCATCCATGCCTTCGCTCGTTGCTGTTTGGGGGTGGATACTAACAGCGGGCCATGGATACTAACGTGGTTTCGACCCCCAAAGAGGGGGCTGGATACTAATAGGGGATGCCTACTAATACCGGGTAAATACGGTATGTCAATTTTGTTGCATTTACATAATCTCTTACCTTCACAGGTCTGGACCACCCACCCATCCACACCCCCATCCCTTAACGTCAAATTGACGCTAAGCGTAACAATTTCGACATAGTGTCTTCCCTCGCGTACGGACACCTCTTGGCGCTTTACGCTACCTTGCAATATTC